TTAAAATATAACCCTCTTTAATCGCCTCTTAGGTCACGTAGCTAGTTACGTGCCCTTATCTTCTTCTTATACCTACGAGTCGTGCCTATCTTAGCTAGTGTAGCGGCTTGATGCTCAGGCCAGCAGTTACCAACATGCGATGACGTTGACAAAGCCGAGGCAATGAATGTGCTTGGGCGTCTCTTGCGCACAGCATCGACGCTAGGCAGTAATCGGGATTCTAGCGCTGCGAAAGTGCCGACATGAGCTACGATGGAACGGCAAGCATAACGGCAGTCTCGGATATGCTGACATGTTCAATGTTAGCTACCGAATCACTCCATGAAGCCACCAGACACCTTTCGGTTTGAATTTGCAGCCCACCAGACAATTTTGTGGGTGGCGTTGACTTACTAATAGTTAATTGGCGGTTACTTCGTTTATTCTAATGCGACGATAAAAGTTACGATAATAAGCGCGATTATCGTATTTTATTATATTATTTTATGTTTATATTCATGCTTTATTTTTAAATAAAATAAATTTAATAATATTTAAAATTAGATATAATTCTAATAAAAAATTAACTTTTTATAGTAGAAAAAGATTTACTTATAAACTTATTAAAGAAAAAAATAAAATAACAGGCTAGATAAAGGTGTTACGAACGTCACTGCACGAGACGCGGGAAGCTGGGCCGCACTAGTAAGGATAGGCACAGCTACTAACTAACAAGGACATCAAGTCACGTAATAGCTTATTAGGTCTTAAAATAGCGGCTTAAAGCTTTATTTACTTCTTCTCTTTGCTAGGATAATCTTCTTTCTATAATAATTAATAATTTATCTTTATTCTTTATAAAGGCTTACGCTTACCCGACTCAGCCTAACTTACTTCCTAAGAAATAGACCTATTATGCCTTAGAACCTAAGCTACCGTTTAGCTTTTATTAGCTATTAAAATTTCTCTACTACTCTCTTTTTTTTACTTTATTACTCTTTACTATTAATTTTTCTCGCTTATAACTACTTTAATAAGTGTTTTTATTAATTATTTTTATTAATTATTTTTAATAATAATATTATAAAGTATTTTAAGTAAAAATATAATAGCTACACGTAATTAGTTTAAAAAGATAATAGGTAAAAGGCTATTTAATTAAGTAATTACGTGT